GAGAGAGAGAGAGAGAGAGAGAGAGAGAGAGAGAGAGATCGATCTAGCCACATGCTTCTCCTTGCCTAAAATCTTACACTTTGGCTCCAGCTTCTCTGGTCCAGGAGGAGGTCTCAGCCTGGGGCAGGCATAAGCCAATCACTCAACTTCTTTTTTTTTTTTAAGTTATTTATTTATTTTGAGAGAGAGAGAGAGCATGAGCAGGGCAGGGGCAAAGAGAGAAGGAGAGGGAGAATCCCAAGCAGGCTCTGTGCTGTCAGCACAGAGTCCAATGAGGAGCTTGAACTCACAAACCATGAGATCATGACCTGAACTGAAATCAAGAATCAGATGGTTAACCAACTGAGCCACCCAGGCGCCCCTCAATCACTCAACTTCTATCTTATTCTTCTGCAAAGAATCAAGGAAGGATTGCCACTCTGCTGGGTAAAAATGCTTATAGACATTGGTCTTACTCTGAATCTGTTTTGGGATATCTTGACAGTAATCCTCCTCATCTTAGGCCATAGCTTTATAGTCATCCCCATGGTTCTCCACCATGTAGCATACATAGTCACTGAGTTTTCGAGACAGCATGTTTCCTTTTTTTTTCTGGGAGGCTGGCTTCTGCCTCCAGGTCATTTAGCACATAGGTATGTGACCCTCAGTAAATAATTTCTTCTCTCCGAGTCCCAATTTCCTCTTCTCTAAAATGGGATATTACTTACTGTGTGGCTTCTCTGTGAGACTGGAGCTCCCTGGGGGCTGGCATTAAGCAGATGCCCAGTACAGGGCCTGGCATGGACTAGGAGTGCAATGGGTGTTAGCAGAGTGAACGAATGAACAGGCTGGGGAAGCACTAGCCACTCCAATCCTTGCCCTGAATGATGATGACTTTTGACTGCTTCCAGGCTGCTTACACCACAGCAATCCCCTGTCAGCGTGGTCAAAGGCACGTCTTGAAGAGAGGGGAGGCTGGGTCTGGATTCTCTGACAGGTCCATTTTCTGGAGCCCCAGCCCAATCAGCTCTATGCCTCCAGGGTCCTAGGGGAGGCAGGACTCACACAGAAGAAGGGCTCAGAGGGCCTTGTCAACCCATGAGTTCATATCACAGGTGGGACAGCTGAGATCCAGAGAATGGGAGATGGCTTACCCGAAATCACACAGCTGTTCAGTGGTAGAGCCAGGGTCAGAACTTCGGGATCCTGATTCCTAGTTTAGGGCCTTGTCCACCTCACCTACTGCCCACAGGGACTAAAGCACACAAACAGGCATCTTTAACTGCACACAAAGCCCGGAGTAGCTGCATAAAGTCTGGCCTTTAAGTCAGTGCTGAGTGGTGGTGTTGTGTCGCACATTGGGTGGGGTGAGCTTTGGAGTGCTTCCGGACAAGGAAAGTTCTCAGGAGTGGTGATCCCTGCCACGCTCAGCCCTCAAAGAACACTCAAGAAGTTCCCCTTCTATACAGACCCTGGGCTACACACTTGATAGACGTCATCTTTTATCTTTACTGATAAGTATTTTCCCACTTTACAGATTGGAACACTGAGGCTCAGAGTGGGGTAATTAGTTCCTCAAGGCCAGAGTTGGTGAAGCTGAGATTCTGACCCAGCTTTATGGACTCCAAAGTGCTTAGCTCAGGAAGGCAGGACAGAAAAGTGGTTAAGAACATAGCATCTGGATTTCAAGTCCTGAGTGAGAAGCCATACCATCTGTTTAGAATAAAAATTTGTTTTTTGGGGGGTGCCTGGCTGGCTCTGTCAGAAGAGCATGTGACTCTTGACCTTGAGGCCATGAGTTTGAACTTCATGTTGGGTGTAGAGATTACAAGAGTTTGAACTCATGACCCCAAGATCAAGAGTCACATGCTTGGGGCACGTGGGTGGCTCAGTCGGTTAAGTGTCCAACTCTTGGTTTCAGCTCAGGCCATGATCTCATGGTTCATGAGTTCAAGCCCCGCATCAGGCTTCACACTGACAGTATGGAGCCTGCTTGGGATTCTCTCCCTCTCTCTCTGCCCCTCCCCTGCTCACTCTATCTCTCTCTCAAAATAAATAAATAAACT